CTTGAAGGTCTTCAGTTTAACTGGGTTTATGTCTGGAGAGCTAGTCACTGAGATATTTGTAATCTCCTGGCAATCCCTGCAGTGGTTATTAAATTGCCCCTTTAAAAATATTGATGTTTGGGGAAAGGCATTCACTCTTTGGTAGATGTTCCTTAGAACTCATTTGGAACTTAATCCTCCAAAAAGGAAAACTATGTCAAGCATGGATCATATTCTGTTATTTTAATATTAATAATAAGCAACTTGGGGAGAGGGAAGTCAGGCTGGTTCCTTTAAGGAAATATACCCCTAAACCTGGTAAAGTAAGTGCTCCTTTCAAAGAATGAACATCAAAAGGGATCTGGTATTGAGCTTCCAACAAAACGATGTGAGGGGGATGACCTACATTCCCGTGCATTAAAAAAAGGCAAAGAGAAGAAATTAAAATTAATACTTCCCTGGATACTGCTCCAACGCACAGGAAGGCAAATGGCTTTAGCCGGTCTTCTTGTGTGGTTTACTTCACTGGGGAATCCCTCAAAGCCCTGGCTTCTACTTCAGGGTAACTCTCCTGAAGTCATTTTGGTATGAATTTATATACTCCAGAAAATTATATACTCTACTGCTGACATGCCTCATAATTATTTATGGGAGGTGCTGGAGGATTTTTCAAGAATATATTCATTACAGGTAAAACATGAACAATTTATCTTGCAAAACACTGAACAGGTGTTTCCTTTCAATTAATGTTCAGTAAATTTCATAGCTACTTAATTTTTTTAATCCCCTCCCCAACAACGGCCACAAATGTCTGTTTATCCATCACTTATCTAAATCCCCGCCAATCAACAAGCTTGTCTTCCCCTTTCCACAATGCCTTTAAATCATCTCTCTTATATTTTTGATGCTTAAGGATCTGGAGGGCACTTCCAAATCAGATTGATTTTTAAAACATCAGTGATTTCTGGAATGCCATAAAACTGCATGCTTTATTTTCATGCATACTTTGTTTTCAGTTTTAATTACACTGGGGTGCTTTTTTGTCCAGGAAAAAAACAACAACTCCCTAACTCTTGCTGAAGTTTTATGAGGAAAGAAAGAAAGAAATTAAGGAAATCAGGAATTGTATACACTGTACACTGTTCTCAGTGGGACATCGTTTAGAGAAAATATTTGGTGGATTGCCCATATTTTAAACAAGATATTATTTAAAGGGGTTTGGGCTTTTTGCAAAGATTATTCTCAAAGTCAGTGAAGTAAGTAAGTCAGAGTAACAACATTGGACACTGATGATAGGCAAAGGAGAACAGCGGTGTTCCAAAGTGTGGCTAAACATAAACAGAGCTTGGATAGCCTTGAAGATTATTATAATTCTCCAACAGACTCCAACATTTTATCCCAAATGCAGCATGATTAATTTTGTGTCTTATTGTTGCCACATCAGGAACACAGTCCAGCAAAATGCAAATACTTTGGAAGCTGCAGTCCCATAGCCAGTGTTGGGGAGCAAGCCCCATTGATCTCAATGGGACTGTCTTTTTAGTAGGTAAATACAAGAGAGTGTTGCCTATCCCATTGGCAAGTGTGAAAGGTAAGCAGTAGCTTAGTTATCTAGTTGAAACCAATGGAATAAAAAAGTCTCTAAGTTTGATGGGACATGCATAAGTCTGCAGCTCTGTATAGACTGACTTGGAATTAAATGCCATCAAGCTCATTCTTTCAGCAGAATAAACATGCATATAGGACTCGGCAGTAGTATGCAATAGACTTTCCTTCTTACGTTCGCTTGGTGTGACTGCTATCAGAAAATGTATCTGGAAGTGGATGAAACCAAGAAGAATTTAGATACTGGTTTCAGGTGTTACTTCAGTTACCAAAAGAAAAAGCACTTCTGTCTGTCTAATCCTCTCTGTATGCATACACATGTATGTGCCATTCCCTAACTCAGCTGACCTATTTTTCATCTGTTTTCTTATTTCCCTCTCCTCCTAACCCCGCATAACTGACCGACCTTTTCTGTTGCAATATTTCTAACTTGGAAGTAGGTTTTACTGCTTTCAAAGCAACTGACTTCCAGTTAAGTATTCTCTGGACTGCAGTCATTCTCTCTAGTTTATTTTAATTATTGTTATAGCATTATAAAAATCTGTGTTTTGAAAAAGAAGTCAACTTCTCTTTCCTTCCTGATCCTTTTGAATTTATCAATATACTTCTCAGGTCTGCTTCATACTTCTCAGGTCTGCTTTATCACCTACCAACCTAATACGTTTGCATAAAACATACTTAGACTCCCTCCCTCCCTCCCTCCCTCCCTCCCTCCCTCTCTCTCTCTCTCTCTCTCTCTCACACACACACACACACACACACACACACTTTGAGAGGAGAATACTTGAGGGAAATGACAATTTTCTTTTGTATGTACTGCACTTGCTGTTGCTGGGCTTATTCTCCTCATGGAAATAATTGTGCTCTATAAAAAGGAGTCGCCTTCACTCGAGGGGAACTCTGAGTGCGGAACGCTTTTTCTTTTCTACAGTAAAAGGAAATACCTTTTCCCTTCACCAATATTGAAAATTTCGGTGCAGCTGTTAGAACCAAGCACACGGGACAATGCTTAGTGCTAAGTGAACCAAGGGTCTCTCCCTCCCCCTCCCCCTCCCTCCCTCCCTCTCTAAAACTGCTGGAAGAGTTGAGGGTCGAGGCCACTTCAAAGCTCTCTCGAACACTTCCTACTCCGCTAGAAAGAAAATGGAATCCGCTACATTGCAAAATATTAATTTACGATAGGCATTATGTGAGCTAGTTGACAGAGAGAGCCAGTGCGATCCGTAAGGCAGTCAAACTGAAGGACATTGAAATAAATCAAGTTTTATCCTGTTGACACAGCCTGCAGTCCTAAATATACTTACTTGGAAGTAAATGCCACTGGGTGGCAGGGAGTGGACATAAACTTGCACGTAATTGTGTTTAGATCTGGATATCAGCCTATCCTTCCCAGCCGCTTAGTTGAATAGTGCTCCTTTGGAGCAAATGTCTTGTGAGAGGGTGCTGGGATCCTTCACTGAAATCCAAAAGGGTTTGGGTCTCACTGAGCTGGATCCGGAGCATCCAGGGGGCTTGCGGAGGGAGAGGGGACGGAGTCAGATCAGCTCTGAAATGTTCAAGACACAGCCCCCGCTCCTTTCCTTCCCCTTTTTTTAAACACCCTCCTTTTCCACAGGCAGTAAATTCAAGGCTATAAAAATCAAAGGAAGCTAATGTAAGTTTTATTCAACTATTTAACCGTCTCAAGTCTAACGCCTTCTGTAAGGAAACAAAGAAGATCAGTACCGGATTGGACATTTTACAAGGGCAGTAAAATTAAAGTGCGTGTCTATGGCGGGGAGGGAAGGAGGCGAGAGGGCTGTTACCGCAGCGGTGCAGCCGAATAGCCCGCAACGCAACGCAACGCAACGCAGCCGCCTCTCCGCTGCCTTCAAAACAAACCGGGCTGCCGCCTCTCGGAACCCGCCGAGCCCCCCTCGCTCGCGGGATCGGTCGGTCGCTGGGTCGATCGGAATCCCGAGACCGGCTGAGATTTACTCATGCAGACAAAAGAAACATACTGCAGTTTGGAAGCCAGACCCGCACGTTATGTGCCCGGCTGTATTCACACACACACATGCATGCGGGCGGGCGGGCGGGGGGGGGGGAGCTGTAGGGAGCCGGTGTCTTTTAATTATATGTTTATCATATAATTACTGTGCTATTCGGTACTTCGCGCTTCTCGTATAGTTCCTATGGCTTCTCCCTGGAAGCAATAGATTGCACTCAGGCATAGCAATCGACATGCAGATCCATGCCCGAGGATCCACACGGGCATCTATAATCCACATGCGGCAGAGTTTAATAGAAAATACACAGAGACCTTAGTATATGCAGACCCTTGACAGCTAAGGTTTCCCGAAAGAGAGGAAGGCAACATGACCAGGAAACAGCCCGCTTCTCGAAGCTGCACCGAGAGTTCTCTGACAGCCTGCGACTGCCCATCTACCACCGCAGGATTAGTAATAATGCTGATGGAGATCATTTTAAAAAGAAGGAAGGAAGGAAACCTCTCGCGTGCATGCACCTAAAAGCTTTTCATTGTGACCTTGCCAGGTATCACTGCCTCGCCCTCTTTTAGAAAACTTTAAAGGAAAGCAAGCACATTTTTTAATTGGCTCCCCCCCCCCCCAGATAAGTAGCATTGGAATATTGAAGGAGAGTGATCGAGTCTAGAATGGCAGTTTATAGATCTGATGGTGGGATGCGGAGAGGTGCGTGGGGGTGGGGGCTGCCTGCGGAGGGAGGGAGGGAGGGAGGGAGAGAATTCCCCAGAAGGGGATTATTGAAGGCAAAGAGAGGGCAAAACTCAGCATTTCTCTTTCATGTTTCAGAAGCCAACCCCCCCCACAAAAGAGAGGGGGGAGGAGGATACATGCCCCCCGCCGCCGCAGGATCCACCCCCCCGCACACCCACGCCACGTAACCTCCCCTCTCTGGCCACCCCCCACCCTTGGCACTGTACGTTTCGCGCTTTCTGAACTCCCGACGTTTTGCAACATTGCATCAACATAACACAATCCATCCTTGATATGGAATGCGGAGGGCGGTTTGACAGCCCAGCGCAACCCCCTCCGCCAGGATTGATTTACGCCCGCCCTGACGCTTTATCAGCCTCACGAAAAAAGTTTGACCAATCATTTTGCTGGAAGCTCCCAACCCGGCAGTCCCGACTGTACTTTTTCTTGGCTAGGAAGTTGATGCTGGAGGAGGAAAAGGGGCTAAGCGAGAGTGTCGCCTGGTGTTCGTGTGTGTGTGTGTGTGTGTGCGCGCGCGCGTGCTTTTTTTACAGCTGCCCCCCCACCCCCATACCCTAATATCTGTAGAGCCAGCTTAACTGGAGATCTACTCCTCTCTCCTTTTTTTATTGCTTGCTCGGTTCCTTGGTTCCTTGCTTTCCCCTTCATTGAACCGCGGGGCTCGTATGATGTCCGAGAATGTCCATTTCTGGAACTCTTAGCAATTATTATGTCGACTCCATTATAAGTCATGACAGCGAAGACTCTCCCGCCGCCAAATTCTCTTCCGGGCAGTATTCAAACTCCAGGCAAACTACCCACCCTGAGCACCTCGAGTTCCCCTCCTGTAGTTTCCAGCCCAAATCCTCCGTTTTCAGCGCTTCCTGGACGCCTCTGACGCCACACACTGCCGCCGCCCTTCCTTCGGTCTACCATCCCTACATCCAGCATCAAAACATCCCTACATCCGATAGCAGGTATCTACGGAGCTGGCTGGACCCAGTGCCCCGCACAGAAAACATAGCCGGGCAGGGACCAGTTAAAACAGAGCCGCTGCTGGGACACCCCGGGGAGATCCGTAAACAGGGGACACAGGAGTACCATTTAGACACTTCTGCTGGAAGGGAAGGGATCGCTTCCAATCAAAGGCCCAGCTTCGAGGACAATAAAGTTTGTGAAGGAAGCGAGGACAAAAGCAGGCCAGATCAAAGTAAGTTATAAAAAGTGAGGAAGTAAACAGCATAAAAACCTAAGAGGGGGTGTCATAAAACGGCACAATGGGCGAGGAAAGCTTTAAAAAAAAACAAGTCTTAAAAGAGAAAGCTCCCCCTTTACCCACAGAACTCTGCTGGCGCTAATCTGGGATTGGGGTGGGGTGTATGTTCCGTAGAATGAGCTGCTTATTGAGATTTTGAAGAACTTCTGTGAAATGTCATGTGTGGTACGGGGGGGGGGGGTGAGTTTTGACCTTCCTCGCCCAGTGGTTAGAAGAAGCCCAACTTGCTATGTGTTGGTCTTTTCTTCTTTATACAGAAATTAGCGGTGGGGACAGGCGACCATAAAAGATTGGGATGCGTATTATGTAGTCTGCCTGCCTGTCTGGGCGCGCGCGTAGGGAAGGGAAGGGAAGGGAAGGGAAGGGAAGGGAAGGGACGAAAACGTGGGGAAGATATTTGTTTTTTAAAAGCGACGAGAAGAAGTTCACGTGGAGAAGTAAGGAGGGGGCTTTGTTGTTCTGCTGACCCTGTTTACCTTGAAAGACCCCCGATTCCTTACGTTGCTTTTTCTTCTGTCACTCCGTCTTTCTGATTGTTAATTGTTGTTTGTTTATGAAATGCATCCGACGTGCGTATGAATATTTCAGAGCCTCCGCTGCCGCTGTGCCCCCCCCCCACCCGCCAAAAAACAGTAAAAGAGGGAAACGAGCTTAATTGGGTTCTTCTTTTATTTGCTATTGGGAACAGACTGGCAAACTCTTAAACTTAATCGTGTGCTTCTTTTTGCAACCTGGTGGTGGCTATTATCCCCCCCTGCACACACACACACACACCTTAGAGGAAAAATCTAGTCAAAAGGAAGGGGGGAGGTACAAAAATATAATCATCTTTGCCTCTTACGTGTTCTTCTGCAAGGTGAAGACGAGGTGATTCGGTCCGTTCTCAGAGGCTCTTGCCCAGTGTGGGGTTTCAAACAACCGAAGAGTATTTTGGTGGTGTGAAAAAGACTCCTTGGCGGTTTTAAAATCGGAGTGCCCGTAATTTCTCCCAGGCGATTTGCTCCTTCAGAAGTTTAAGAAAAAACCTAACCCTGCTGGCTTCTAACCCCAACCCTTCTCAATGTATCTATTCACAGTGTTGTTAATTAATAATGTTACTGTTCATGGTGTGTATGTATGTATATTTTTCATGTGAGTCCCCTTTCCCAGACAAAGTCGAGAAACAGTTGTGCAATTCTGTTTGTCTTCTTAGTCCGGCGACAGCTGCCCCGCTCGGTGGGAGAGGGCGAAAATCACGCGTTTTGTGTTGGGCTCCGGGCAGAAAATCTTGATCAAAACAGTCAAGAAGCGATGGAAGGTTAAAAAAAAAAAAAAAAAAAGCTTATGTGCCCGTCTACCCTCCTCCCTCCCCCATTTTCTCCCCAGCCCCGGGATTGAAGATAGATAAAAACCTTGCCCAGGAAAACCGCTCGATTCCAGAGGACCAGGGCGCCCCTGGGCGTCCTGTGCATTCTAGCTTAGAAGGTATGTTTGCTCGTGTATGGAGAGAACGGGGAAAGGAAGGAAAGGGGGCGGGGGGCATCCTTCCTAGAGCAGGACTGATGCCTGGGCATTATCTCCCCTTGCTGAGCGGGTTTTGCCATTGCCTCCCCAGGATGTTCGCCCTGCGAGAGAAAATTGCGTCTCTGGATCTAGCCATGGCGTGGTTTCTTTGTTTTGGTTTGGTTGGTTTTCTCTGAAAGAGCAGCATGTCAGCGGAATATTTCTCTTTTTTCTCCCTGTTTGGAGAATCATGTGAAATGAAAAATGTTCTTGCTTTTCTGGTGGTGTGTCCTCGAAGTGCCAGGAAATCTCACAGAAACCCCCATTCCCCCCCCCCCCCCCCAGGACGCGTGCAGTCACACATGTTCGAAAAGAGGGCATTTGGTCGAGATTGCATCCAAACGCCATTAAAAAATAGGTAGCGGTATCAATTATTAACAGCGTGCCTCTCCTTTAATATTTAATTCTGCCTCTTCGGGCCAGTCCCTTCTGTGGAGGAAGTGGCTGCGGGGATTTGCACGGAAAGGGAAGCGAATCCGCCTCGCAAAACGCCAAACCAAAACAACAACAACAAAAACCCCCAGGCATATCATTTGACTCAGAAGGACATGTCATTCCGGCCCCGCTGAACAGGGACCCAAGCCTGGGGAGGGGTGGGGGGTTGTAAAAAATTTCTGCAGGCGTCCAGGAAGTCGAGCAGAAGTTTGGTTGGCTTTATACTCTCACACTTCCGCGTTTGATTCTTTTGCCATTGAATGACAATTTCACTTTTTTTTTTTTTTTTGAAAGACAGGCCATCATCACAGAGCCAGCCGGACTGGCCTGACTATTAGCATGCACATGCGTTATGCTTTTGCTACCTCACAGATCCGCTCACAGCGACTTTACTAACGAGTAGACCTATTGCTATGTATGGTATTGCACAGAGGTGCAGTACTCCATACCAGCCACAGTCCTCGCCCCTGCTTGGCCCTCTGCAGAGGCACCTCAGCATTTCACTGCTTCTCAAATGGCGACACGGGACAACATCGCATCCGTGCTCACAGCACCCGGTCCGCTCTGCATGCGCTGCACAGGAGCTGTCCCCGTGAACTTTGCCTCCTGGTATTTTACCCCAGGGTGTTGGGAAGACGATGATGTACATGCCTTTTCCAGGCAACAGCGACTAGGCGATTTCTTTCCCCATTAGCATGGTAGAAAATAGCGTGTCACGATTTTTTTAAAAAAGAAAAAGATGCCAAAGCAGAAGAACCAGGAGAGGGAGTGCTAAATTATTCATACTTCTAGATGAATTAGTTTGTATATCTGTGTAGGCAAGACGTGCGCTGCATCCCCTAAAGATGTGTGAGAAAGACTTGTCTTCCCATAGCCTTAGTATGAAAATGGATCCTTCCTTTCAACAGCTGCGCGATATGCAAGCATCTCTCACCACTTCCCCATGCAGGCAAGTGCCCAGGTTACCCTTTGGTCCTTGCATCACCTCCTGCCCATACACGTTTGCACCTTTGCACACAAATAACAACATGTGAGTAGGTGTGCTTGGTACAACTGTTTCGGCTGCACTCAATAAAAGTTGGTGGCTGCCCACTTCCTAAATGTCAGTCTTCTTTGCCCAGTTCAATAGTTGGCCAAAAGTCCTTCTGAGAAGCCAGGGGGCTTTGGGGGCACTTTCTGACGGGTCTCTGCTGTTTCTCTTTCAGGTAATCCTGCAGCCAACTGGTTGCACGCACGCTCCTCCAGGAAGAAACGATGCCCCTACACAAAGTACCAGACCTTGGAACTGGAGAAAGAGTTTCTGTTCAATATGTACCTCACCAGGGACCGTAGACATGAAGTGGCCAGGCTGCTCAACCTGAGCGAAAGACAAGTCAAAATCTGGTTTCAGAATCGAAGGATGAAGATGAAGAAAATGAACAAGGAACAGGGCAAAGAATGAAGATTCCCTATCTTTCCCCCCAGCCCCCACATATGCATTCACCCTCTTCTCTCCCCCTCTTCTGGCCCCATCTTGAAACTTATGTTGTATTTATGGGCCATGACTTCCCCAGTGGTGCCAAACCAGGAACAGCCTGCCTGGGGCATGCAAGAAGAACTCATAACAATTGCACCTGTTTGTTTCCATTGGGTCCTTTTCAGTTTTTAAAGATATTGGCCAGGTAATGCTAGTTTGGGGTATGTTTAATTGGGGGTTGCTACTTCTTGTAAAGTAAATGATGATAGCTTCAACTTTATGCAGAAGTGGTTTCTCTGGATGGTCTTCACAGGGCCACTTATACCATAATCCTATACATTTTTACTCTGAAGTAAGTCCCACTGAGTTCAATGGAGCTTACTCCCAGGTCAGTGTGCATAGGACTGCAACTTTGACTATCCCCTACCAGTAAAAAGAAAACTGTCAAGGAAGCTGTCCCAAACTAAGTCACATCCCACCTGGATCTTGATTTGAACCAGTTGCTCTGAAAGCAACTGGGAGCTGAGAGACAGCAATGGAGCATTAGTTCCAGGGGTATTTTGCCCCACATTCCCATTTTGCCTCTCTCTTCCTAAAGTGGGGAAGATCATCCCAAAATTCTCTACAAGGGGAGAACCTGATGGAAACATCACTGACACCCATTCAACCCACCAACTTTTCTGGGAGTTTGGTCATTTTCTTGCATGCCAGAAGAAGTTCCATTGCACGTATAATCTCTCCTGCCTTCTTTAACACAGAGTTACCTGCTGACTATGAAACAAAAGGTTCTTTATCCACCAGTGTCACTTCACTTTCACCAATGAAGCTTGTGAGAGAAACCATCCAAAGGCGCAAGAGTACACAGTCTCTTGCAGTCTCTCATTCTTTTCAGTGGGTTGTCTCAATGGGTCAGTCTAACTCAAGCTGGGTTTACTCTAAGTAGGATTGACACCGGCTACAACCCAGTAGGTCTGTGCAGGAAAACTTCCCATATGCTGTCAAGAAGGTTCTGACTTTTAAGGAATATTCGATGGGTCAGGAAGCAGAACTGTTTTAATTGGGGTGCAGGCGGAGGGGAAACAACACCATAGCTTTCTAAAAATGATGAGAAAGCTTTCTGTTCCTAATGCCTATTTATAATTTATTGTAAAAATGAATATTCAGAAAACCATTCAAGTGCCAAGCGTGGTATGGGGCCTCTGGATTTTTCTCCCCCACCCCTTCCAATCAGGTCTCTGCTAAGAAATTTTAATACTTGAATGTTATAGGAATGTTTTTCGTTTGCACCCCATTGTTCCTGGAAGACAGATTCATCTTTCACGTTCACCTGAAAACTAACTTTGAGTGGCATACAGGTGTTTTGATTACTTTTTGGGTGGGTGCTTTTTGAAAATGTAATAGATATACTTCCACATTGTTTACAAAATGAATTCCCATTTCATATTCAAAGGAAGGGGGCTCTCATCTCTAAAAATCCTACCCCCCTCCCTTTAAAGTCTGTTTCCCTTATGGCTGTTTAAATTAGTTCCCCCCCCCCTTTGGTTGGACTTGGGGTGGGGGCAGTAGGGTAATTAAGTAACTTTAGTCCAAGGTGCTTATGTGGTGTGTGTGGTTTTTTGTTTTTATTTTCTGTTTCTCTAGAGAAAATGTGTTTGTGATTGTGCTTTTGTGAATGTTCCACTTGTTTTCTGTGGCTTTTAGGAATATAAAATGGGGTCTATATACCTCTTCGTTCCAGATCTGGTGAGGAATATACATAAGTAAACCTATTCCCCACGCTTTTGCATTCTTCCATTTCGAGTTTTCACTGTTAGAAATAACACCATTATGTGGTGAAAAGTTTTCATAACATAACAAAGGGGATGGGAAATTGAAAGAGAGAGTGACAGAAAGAGAGCAAGAGAGTGAGAGAGGAAATTAATGTCTATCTTTCAGAATCTTTCTAGACAAAACAGTCCCAGCAGAGAAATCTAATTTCATAGAGTGTTGTATAGAATTTTTATACCTTTTTGCCTGGTGACAAGCAGTTCTTTAGGAATTTGATAGGCATATTTTAATCTTTCAAAATAGCATTGCGTAACTTGAAGGATTTTCTGAAGATGAGGTACAAATAAATCTTTTAGGGTGTAGTTCAGTGTAAAAAATATTCTGCATTTTTAAAAGGAGGGTTTAGTGGAGGGGGTTTAAAAATCCTTTTCCTCAAAACCCTTGGAGTGCTTGGATAGGTTTTCTTCTGTGGGTGCAGAACAAATCTACAAGGCAAAAGGTAGGCGAATTGCTTCTTATAGCTTAGCAGTTTAACTTTAGCCTGTCCTAGTGGCTTAAATAAGTCAAACTTCGCATTGTCTTACAAATCCAATTTCATAATGGAATTTCCAAGGAAGTGTCCCATTTTCTTTTTCTGCTTGTAAAACTAAAATCGGAGGTGTTGTTTTGTTTTAACTAGTATTATCATCATTAAAGTGTTCGTATTGGGCCAGCTGAAGTTTGGTAGAATTCTGTGGTGTATCTGTGTTTCATTATTCGCTGGTGCCTCAAATGAATCTTAAAATGAACTGGAAACACGGAGTATCTTTGAAGACTCACCCCAAATCCTTTCAAAGCTAACATTAACATTTTGTAAAGAAGCCCATCTCCATACAATGTATTAGCATAATCACTCATTTTAGTCCTACAGTCATTCAAGATCTTATTAGTGAAGTCAAGAGACGTTTTTTAAACTGCATTTTTGCTGAAGCATGGATTAGTAAAAGAGCTAGTGGATCTTGTTAGATAAAATTCTATCTAAGGGGAACAAATGTTGCACACCCTTTATTGTTTCTTCTGTTCCATAGGATCAAACGTATTTTCCACAGTTATTTAATGCTTCCAAATAAAAATTGATTTTGGAGGGGAGGACCCCAACTATTTCTCATTGTGTTATGCTGCCTCTTCTAGAACTTCAGAAATGTTTGTAATCGTATTTGTTTTCTTTAGTGGCTTTTAAAGGTGCATTCTAAAGATCTGGACTGTTTTTTACATTCTGTTATTGTCTGTTCCGAAGTTCTCCCTTTTTAAAATGTCACATAGAAAATCCAGCAAGAATTCATTTTCAGTGTACCTTTGTTTCCTTCCCTGTGTTAAACAAGTTGTATGTCTAAATCCATTCAGCAAAGCAGAAATAAAGCAGTTCTTCGTCTTTCAATTTGTGGCCATTATTATTACTTTTAAACCAAAACTAAAAAGGAGTGGGTGGGTGGATGGATGGAGTATGTAGAAGAACTGTGTTTACACATTGCAGTATAGGGAGGTTTTTACATGCAATCTAACAATGGTGTCCTGAAGACGGTATGGCAAATGTCCTTTTTCACTGCCCAAGACAAGACAAGAAAAAGCATAATCGAAATCCTGAAAGGTGTATTTTGCCAAATAATTATTTCGAATGCTCTGCAAGCTTTCTTGTAATTCTGTGTCCTTAAAGTTATTTTTACTCTATGCCTCCAACTGAACCATTTCACACTGGGAAAGGATATTAGAGCTTTGCTACTTTTATACTCCAAAAGCTCAAAAATCAGCCAGCAGGAAAGAAAGGCAAACAACCACAATTTCCTTCAACAGTACCTTGGAAATATAAAATTAGGTCAGGTCAAAGGGATGGAGACGCACCGCACGGTATTTTCACTGTGATGTCTTAAAAATAAGTAAATGCAATATTTATTTATTTGATAAACTCTGGAAAGAGAAGGAAAAGGTGGCTGGAACTTACTGGACTAGAAGTGGGAGAGTAGCTTGTCATAAAAGAGAGAAGAAAACTCTGCGCAGTAGGCTGCAATAAAAGAATATGACCGCCATAAAATTTTATAGGGTATAAATTTCTGAAGGTTAAGGAACTAAGCAACTGTAAAGCAAACAAGAGTAGAAAACTTTCAGAAGCCCCTAAATTACTACGATGTCCTGAGAAAGAAGGTGGGAGAGGAGATGGCGGGAGTAAGGAGGAAAAATAAGGTGTGCGTTTTTGTCTCATTCACCCAGAAAGAAGGAACTCTTGAAATAATAATAAAAAAGCAGGTCTGAAGAGAGAGAGAGAGAGAGAGAGAAAGCCTTTGTTAATTTATTCCCTTGTAGTGGATCCTGTGAACATGCAGCGTTCTGGATTGCTTCATCCATTGTCTAGTGCTTCTTATCACTTCCAAGCTGCCAGCACGCTGGACCATAAACTCCACCCCCCCAAACACACACACAGACACACACACAAACACCCCCCCCCCCCCAGATATAGACACCGACCCCAAAGTTCTGGCCAGACGTCTGGGTTTTGGAAAGCTTTTCTCCAGTCTTTTAAAATCTATTTACAACCTAAGCTTTCCCCCCATCAAGAGCAGAATACTTCAATTGTTTAGTCTTGAGCTTTGAAACAATGGTGGTTTTTCAAAAGCGAAATCCCAGCCAGCCTCGTGTCTCCCTCCCTTTCCCTCTCTCTCTCTCTCTCTCTCTCTCTCTTTCTCTCTCTCTCTCTCTCTCAATCTCGCTCTCTTTTATTGCCTCGAAAACGACCGGATGGAAAGTAGTGCGGTAGAGCAAATCGAGGGACTTCTGAGAAGGGAACAGGCGCTCCCTTCCCACTCACAATCATATGCGGAATCTGATAATTCCATAAATGATTTATCATATGCACAGTGCTTTAAAATGCACACAAAGGGAAAGAAAGAGAGGGCGCGTACAGCAAATCTGCCTTCCCTAACCTATCTTTGTTTATTGGCCGTACATACATACATACATACATACAAAAATATGCGCGTTGTGTATTTTTTTAAAAGTGTCTTACAACGAATGATCGTTAGATGGTGCTGTTACTCCACTTTAGAACTCGCCGTCTAGCTGCTTATTTGGTTTCATTGCCTCTTGGGTCCCCAGCACCTTGATTTCATTAGGAACAATAAACGGAATTGTTGCTCAAACCCATTGTGAATAAATCCCCCGACATAAAATATAGGTTCAGTTAGGGC